TTTGCAGTCACAGGAAAGGAGCTGGGTAGAAGGAATGCATCAGCCCTTGTCGGGAAGGAAGGGAGGGAGCCATGTAGGAGACCACAGCTTGTAGGGAGGGGTATTCCTGCAAGAGAAAACCTGGAGGGCACAGACGCGGTTGGCTAGAGAAAGCACCCAGGCCCCGTGCCCCGACCCTGGCGAAAGATAAGGCAGGGACTGGCGCTGTGGCATAGCAAGGTAATCCTCTACCTGCTGTGCTCACATCCCATGTGGGGCCTGGTTGCATCCCAGCAGCAGCCCCACTTCCCATCTAGCTCCTCCCGCATGGGAGACCCGGAAGAAGCTCCTGGTGTCAAAAGACCTCAGCTCCCGCCGTTCAAAAAATACATCTTTTAAAATAAAAAAATATAATTTTTTTTGAAAGGCAAGGCAGATAGGAAGGGGGTTGCTATGATGTAATCCTGTATGTGGTACCACCTTGAACTTGCCAGGGAAAGTGAAATCCCAGCTATTGGGGCATACCGCAGTCCACCTCTAGCTTTTTCAGTGAAGGGATATGGGGTCCCCCCCACCCCATGGAGAGGTGAGAGGGAGTGGGGAGACTGTGATGGGTCAGACTGAACCGGGAGGCTTCCCGGAGGAGGTGGCAAGCTGGGTGGGTGAGAGAAGGGTCCACACCGTGTGGCATCAGGACACACAGGGCTTGGGCAGCTTTGGAGAAGCTGGGAATGGTTTTGACAGGTGAGGTCTGGGGAGCCCCCTAGGGTTAGATCACCCCAAGGATGTGGTGGAGCACTGCAGGAGTGCTCCCACCAAGACTCAACTTGGAATTCGTTTCCCAGGGCCGTGCATCTGGCCAAGTGGTTGAGATGTCCAGGTTCCCAAAGTTCCATTTTTGTTTAAAGATCTATTTATTTTTAAGTCAGATACACAGAGAGGAGGAGAGATAGAGAGGAAGATCTTCCATCCGATGATTCACTCCCCAAGTGCCTGCGATAGCCAATGCTGTGCCGAACTGGAGCCGGGAGCCAGGAACTTCTTCCAGGTCTCCCACACACAGGTGCAGGGTCCCAAGGCTCAGGGCTGTCCTCCACTGCTTTCCCGGGCCACAAGCAGGGAGCGGGATGGGAAGTGGAGCTGCCAGGATTAGAACCGACGCCCCTATGGGATCCCAGCGCATTCAAGGCGAGGACTTTAGCTGCTAGGCCACACCACCAGGCCCTCAAGTTCCATTTTTGCACCTCAATTGCAGCTCAGACGCTGGGAGGCTCATGTGTCTAGGCTCCTCCCTACTCGTGTTGGAGACCCGGATGGAGTTCCAGGCTCCTGGCATTGGCTTCAGCCCAGCAGCAACTGCCGGGAGCATTGGACTATTCAATCAGTGGATGGGAGCTCTGTGTGTGTGCGTGTATTCTTCTCAACTAAATAATAAAAATCAATCTACGTGAGAGAAGGTGTTTGCTATCCCAAGGGATGCTGTGGTCAGATGGCCAAGCTTTTGCAAAGTCACTGGGCCTCGAGGGCTCCGCACGGACGCATGGACCGAGGAGCCTGGCTGACTGCATTTGGGTCTCCCAGGAGACAGCAGGGTCCCCAGCCGCTCACTGGCTGCGTAACCCCAAAAATGCATCGTTTACTTCTGCTGTTTTTAGAATAGCTTCTTCCTTTGGCAAATTCGGATGATGCTTTCCTTGTTTGTTTGTTTACAATTTTTTAAAGATTTATTTATTTGTAATGCCAAGGCAGAGATACAGAGAGGAGGAGAGACAGAGAGGAAGATCTTCTGTCTGATGATTCACTCCCCAAGTGACCTGGAGGAAGCTCCTGGTTGATAGCTCCACAGAAAAGGGTGACGTGGGCTCCTTCCGCCCCGCTTTGTCAAGCGTGGGCTCCTGAATCCCTTTCAGATCCTCTTTCAGGTCCCGTAAAGCAACCACCACCAGACAGCAGGCATTCTGGGTATTCTCGTACGCTCTCTCTTTCATCTTTTCTTCTCCTTAGATTTGCTGGGTGCCACATCGTCCCCACTGGCGACTGGTGGGCTGTTTGCACCTCCGAGAGCTTTACAAGAACGTGGTCACTGGCCTGAAGCGGTAGCATAGCACACTGCCATGCTGCTTTTTGTGCCGACATACCATGCGAGGACCGGTTCGTTTCATGGCTGCTGCACTTCCCCTCCAGCTCCCTGCCTGTGGCCTGGGAAAGCAGTGGAGGACGGCCCAAAGCTTTGGGACCCTGCACCCACACGTGGAGGACCCAGAAGAGGCTCCTGGCTCCTGGCTTCAAATTGGCTCAGCTCCGGCCGTTGCAGCCGCTTGGGGAGTGAACCAGCAGACAGAAGATCTTCCTCTCTGTCTCTCCTCCTCTCTCTATATCCACCTTTCCACTAAAAATAAATAAATCTTAAAAAACAAACAAAAAAAATCAGCTAAACACACACCTCCCAAATGCATGCCTGCTAACAGAAACAGGATCCAACGTTCTCAGGTTGCTAAAGGGCAACTTTCAGGAACTTTGAGAAATATTCTCCCTGCATGAGACATGAGCAATATTTTCGAACAAATCCATTGGTGGACGTAATAGATGGGACTGGAGACAGAACTGACGCAACACCTACAACCACCAGCGTGTCTGTAGGCTAAGGTGGGTAACAGACTGAGCCGGACCCTGTACGGGATCGCAGACACAGGACTCAGGTCTGGGATCACCCAACCACGAGGAGAATTCTAGAACAACCTGAGGTCCGAGCTTGGAGGGCATGAGCCAGACAGGGCCTCCTCGTCTTCTGAAGATGGTGCAGCGGCCAGCATACCCCCGATGCACATGGAGGACATGACAAGCCGTTCATTGGAGGCCTTAAGATGACACCTAGTACCATGGACACCTGGACAAACTGGACACCTCTCCCAGCCAAGCGTTGACAGCAAGTGTCTGGGTGAATGGAGACTCTAAGGTGGACTATGTCAGCCAACGGACCGTGGAAGGATTTCCCTCATCCTTGCAGCAACCAACTCAATAGCATTCCAGAACTGTCGAAACCACATGAGTAGAACCGTTGGAGCATGCTGCAATCGGGGACCCTGTGATGACATTGGGTGGCCGTCCCCCATGCCCGATGCACTTGGGCTGTGGGTGCGGCTTCTCACCCTTTTGTCCCCCTTTCCCACAAATACGGGACGAAGGGGGAAAAAGTTGGAAACGAAAATCTCCTCCAGTTCTCCTGTTCTTCAGCCCTTCTCAACTATGTAAGCATCACCTAAACAATTTCAAAAGTAGTGTAAACATTTTTGCTTTGCTGAGCCCGGCCCAATGACGCAATTGGCTAATCCTTCCCTTTCATGTACCTGATCCCATATAGATACCAGTTCTAATCCCGGCAGCCCCACTTCCCATCCAGCTCCCTGCCTGTGGCCTGGGAGAGCAGTAGAGGACGGCCCAGAGCCTTGGGACCCTGCACCTGCGTGTGGGAGACCCGGAAGAGGCTCTTGGGCTTCGGGTCAACTCAGTTCCAGCCGTTGCAGCCATTTGGGGAGTGAATCATAAGACGTAAGATTTTTCTGTCTCTCCTTCTCTCTTAATAAATCTGAATTTCCAATAAAAATAAATAAGTATTTAAAAAAAAAAAACCAAGCTACCAGGATGCTTTAAGAACAGATCGGAAGCTGCCACGCTTAAATGGGATCTAACACACACTCAAAATGAATTCTCAGCAAGAACGGTCAAAGGACTTGAGTGCCTTCCTTATAAACGCACTGATCTCCCAACGAAAACTCCAAGGAGATTTTTGTTTTTAAACTGCGGCATGTGTGGCCCAGAACTAGCCACTAAAAACACCTTGGGTGTGCAATTCAATGATGTTAAATGCATTCAGATTTGGGTGAGAGAGGCATTTGGTTTAACCCCGCTGCATGGGATGCCCTCCCGAGGGCAGGGGTTCGACTCCTGGCTTTGCTCCCTGCTGGGGCAGACCCTGGTAGACACCAAGTCCTTGGGTCTCCATCACCTACATGGGCGACCCAGATGGAGCTTCAAGCTCCTGGCTTCAGCCCCGGCCCAGCCCTGGTTGCTGTGGCCACTACAGGGAATGACCCAGTAGCGGGAAGATCTCTGTCTTTCAAAGAAATAACGCCTTCGTTCCATTTGAAGCATGGCTATCTGAAAATTAGCTAAAGATAATTCAGTATCTGAAGGGTCAACAACAATTGCAGGCCTGGCAGATGTCAGAACACTTAACAGGTTGGCCTGGAGCCACGCCCCCCAGACCAGCCTGGGCTGCAGGTGCACCTGCGTGCAGATTCCAGATTCCCGATGCACCCCGTAAGGGGATGGGCACGGAGAGGCAGCACCTGCTGGGAGCTGCTGAGGAACTAGCCAGGGTTTTCCAGCACAATGAGCTGCGGGGCTGTGGGCAGAGGGATTCAGGATTTGTTCACCGGATGGGCCGCAGCTGTGGCGCAGTGTGTTAAGCAGCTGCCTGTGGCATCAGTCCCATATGGGATGCCAGCTGGAGTCCCAGCAGTTCCACTCGCTCCCTGCTTGCTCCCTGGGAAAGCAGTCAAAGACGACCCAAGTCCTGGGGACCCTGCACCTGCGCGGGAGACCTAGAAGAAGCTCCTGGCTCCTGGCTTCAGCCCGGCCCAGCTCCTGCTGTTTGTGGTCATTTTGGGTAGTGAAGCAATGAATAGAAGATTCTCTCTCTCTCTCTCTCTGGCTCTGCCTTTCAAATGAATAAATCTTTTTTAAAAAAGAAAAAGAATAAATAAGATACGAGCACCCATCTTAGGGCCCCAAGGTTCAAAGGAGCTGCGTGCTTACACACTGAGTGGGGGAATGCACGGAGCTCCAGCAACCGGGGGAGAGCCCCAAGTCCGCAGCAGGTGCACGGGGCAGTCCCACTTTCCCACCTCACACAAAGCCGGAGCAGGCCTCACAGCAACTCACTTTATTCAGCTCCAAGGGGATGCCAAGAAGCAGCTCAGACCCTGGGTGCGGTCCAGCCAGACGACCGGGGTGGGTGGGTGAGGCTGCAGGGTGCGCAAGCATGTTGGGGAGAGGGATGCCCACGTTCTTTACTCCCGGGTGCAGGAGCCTGCCGCCTGCTTGCAGACCCAGAACCGGAGGCCGTTGCAGAGTGAGTCGTTCCAGCCGTCATCCCTGAACTCGGCGCAGTCTTCCCCTCCGATGTTGTTAGGCTCCCCACGGTTCCAGAACTTGGTGAAGCTGCGAAGGTCCCCGGACTCAGCAAGCAAGCACGTGAGCAGCAGCCAGGCTTTCCTCCCGCACCGGAGATCCTCCCACCCGGACCAACCCCGCACCGGAGCCTCGCGCGGGTGGGAGCTTAGCCTGTTCAGGGGTGGAACCCGCCCAAAGGAGAGAGCGTGGCCATTCACCCTGGAGGCCATGCCTCAGTCCACGTACCCGGGTCAGGAGCCACACAAGGCCCGGTGGACCAAAGGCAGGATGCAGGGTCGCCGGTTCTAACCCTGCCGACTCAACCTCGCCCCTTTCTTTCCCACAGACCAGGATACCACTGTCTCCCCAACCACAGCCTAAAATGCACCTGCAATAATTCTCGTGTTCCCTGGGGCTTCTGTATTCAATTTCCATGATGTGAACTACCCACCCAGGCTGGAAGATCCACCTGCTGCTGTGGCCGGCCGTGCAAGATGTAATTAGTGGCATCTGGCACCCCGTTGGCGCCTGGATGGGGCCATCACGACCCAGCCTTTCCTGCCCAGAGGTTCTGCAGAGTCCCCGGGTGGGGTGAGGAGGAGGGCAGCTGAGGTCACACCTGTGTCCCTTGCCCTGTCTGGCACCTACTTGAGCTCGAGCGGCGAGCCGTCCACCCAGTGCCACACGCCCTCCATGTTGAGGTCCGAGAGCCCCATCCAAGTGGGGCCTAGGGACTTGGAAGTCTGTTGCAGGAAGGACTGGAGAAAAGAGAGAGAGAGAAGGTAGGAGGCAAGGACTCAGGAGGGGATGCCTCCACACACGGTACCCTGTGGCCGGCACACGATGACCCTAAACTTCAGGCAGGAGGTCGTGTTTGCAGTGTAACCCTCCAATGTCTGGCGGAGCGGAGTCCTAATCCTCACGGAAGTGGCGGGCCCTGAATGCACTTGCATCGCATCCCTGCTACCCGCATCTCCAGCAGGTGCATTCTGAGCAACTCCAAGGCCTCCCCCTCCCTGTGATGGGCTGACAGCCAGAACGCTTGGGCTCCAGACCAGAACATGCCCCTTCTCCCGAGGGACGCCCCCCAGCCCTGTCGCATAGTGGAAGCAGCCCCCCGCCCCGCCCCCCGAGAGTGCATACATCAGGGAGATAGGCAAACGCCACATCCCTCCATGTACTAACCAGCCAAGGCAGCAACGCTGGCCAGCACACTTACCCACACCCCAAGCTTATGGGTGTTCCCCTGGGGTCCCTTGTAAGGTGCCCAGGACCTCCTCAGGGCTGTCCTGTCCTCATCCATGCCTCCCCCAAGTGCTGCAGAAAACCCCCCTGCAATATTTGTCTCTTCTGTCATCTTATTCCACCCCGAAAACCCATGGCCTGATGCAACTACCACCACCACACACGCTCACCTTCCCCCCCGCTAACCCCGCCCAACGCACCTGCTCCTCATCGCTTCTGACGATGACCAGCTGGGCCCCCACGTCCTGGCAGGCCGACATGGAGTCGTGCCAGTTCCTCTGGGACTTGGAGAAGAAATAGCAGTGTCCCTGGAAGAAAGTCCAGTCCCAGGGACAGGGCCGGCACAGGTTGGCTGTGGAGGGAGGGCAGCGACAGGTAGATGAGGCTGGGACCCTCCAACGTCCACCGCTCCTTCCACACCCGTCTCCAGGCCAGCAGAACCCATCAGTCCTGAGAGTGTACTGTATCCACGGCCTCCTGCGGACACCGAGTGTTCTATGCTGCCATCTCACAGAGCCCCACAGCCCCGTCGACTCTGTCAGGTGCTGAACTCACCCAGTCCCGCCTTGAGCTGCATCAGATCCTGATACAGCTCCTCGTTGGACTCCTGCTCTGGGCAGCTGGGGACTTTGGACACTACACCAAGACAAGCAGAACAGCACTGATTAGATGCCTACGTTGTGCCCTGTCCTGGGGACACAGCGTTTGAGGGTCCTGTCTCTTGTAAATCCGAAGGAAGGAGAGGGGAGCTGACTTGTAGAGAGAGAGAGAGAGGGCTCCAGCGCCTGGATTCTCCACCCACCCGCCCCACCGCCTCTTCCTTCCCTGCCTGACCTGCCCCTGACCTTGAGCCAGGATGGCTACCAGCAGCACAGCGCACAGCAGCTGCAGCACCAGGGACAGGTGACTCCTGAGATGGCCTGCAGGGGAGGGGAGAGGCGCTCCATGCCACTGAGTCCCTGCCTGCAGCTGGCCTGGGGACAGGCAGCCCAGCACCCAGGGGTCAAGGGACCCCAGCACCCAGGGGTCCAGGTCCCCAGCCCCACCCACCTCCCAGCACCCAGGGGTCCAGGTCCCCAGCCCCCACCTCCCAGCACCCAGGGGTCCAGGTCCCCAGCCCCCACCTCCCAGCACCCAGGGATCCAGGACCCCAGCCCCAACTCCCAGCACCCAGGGATCCAGCACCCAGGGGTCCAGGTCCCCAGCCCCACCTCCCAGCACCCAAGGGTCCACATTCCCCAGCCCCTACCTCCACCTCCCTTCACTGAGGGATCCAGGCTTCCAGCCCCTAACCACTCCTCTTAGCACCCAGGGATCCGGACTACCAGCTCTCAGCACCCAATCCCCTCCTCCCAGCACCCAGGGGTCAAGGGACCCCAGCACCCAGGGATCCAGGACCCCAGCCTCAACCTCCCAGCACCCCAGAAGTCCAAGCCCATTACCCGTAACCTTGCCCCACCTGGCCCACCTTGAGACCACGAGTAGTTTGCGACCCCACGTCTGTTCTAGAAGGTCCGGGGCACTGCCTCCCCTCTGGAGGGCCAGCGCCAGGGCCTGGGCTGTGTGACATCCTCTGCCCATGACCTATACCCACAGTCCCCACAGCTCCCACCACCACCACCACCACCACCACCACCACCACAGCCTCACCCAGGGGGCCCTGCGGCTGCTCCCTCGTGGCCATGAAGTCGCTCATGTCCCTCGCCTGCAGCCCTGTCCTCGGCCGGACCTCACTGCTGGGGGCTGAGCTTGCATTCCCAACGGCCTGATTCTCTCTCGTGAATTTATCGTCACTCAGGAAGAGAAACAGGGAACTGGGCAGGGGCTCCGGAAAGCAGGGAGGGGAGAAGGGCACTCATTCAACCTCATCCCAGCGTGTGTGCGTGTGTGTGTGTGTGTGTGTGTGTGTGTGTGTGTGTGTGTGTGTGTGTTGCAGGAATTCAGGGGAGGGATGTCTAGATAGGGGTGGAGGGGGGCAGTCTTAGGGCCCTCCCGGCACGGCAGACCTGGGGGGCGGGGACAGCTGTGGGATCCTCTGATTGGTCCCTTACTGTACCCCCTCCTTTTCCACCTCTGCACCCCGATCTCAGGCTGGGGCTGGGTTGGGCAGAAAGCAGCCCCATCTTCCCTTCTGACTTCCAGGCCTGGCTGGCTGGCTTTATTGATGTTCCTGGTTGCTTGGTTACCGTCAGCCCTGCCAACCTTCCTTGGCAATCAGGGCGTTCTGGGGTTCCTGGAATGTCTGTCAGTACCACCACGAGGTGCTCTGTAATAGCTCCATACAAGCATCCATTCCAGGGTCCCCGCCTGTGACCCACGGCTTCATAGTCGAAGCCGATGGGGGGATACAAGGAATTCTGGGAAACCAGTCCCCCATGTTTTGTGCCTTGTGACTGGGGAGCTAGAAGCTTGTTCCTTGGCCATCTGCTTCCACGCTGCTGACCAAACAGTCTGACAGTACCAACAAAACAAGAGAAAGATGACTGGGGCCCGGTGCCATGGCTTCGCCTTGCAAGGGCTGGGATCCCAGATGGGCACTGGTTCTAATCCCGGCTGCTCCACTTCCCATCCAGATCCCTGCTTGTGGCCTGGAAACGCAGTAGAGGACGAACCAAAGCCTTGGGACCCTGCACCTGCATGGGAGACCCAGAAGAAGCTCCTGGCTCCTGGCTTTCGGATCAGCTCAGCTCTGGCTGTTGCGGCCACTTAGGGAGTGAACCAGCAGGTGGAAGATCTTTTTCATTGTCTCTCATTCTCTTTGTAAATCTGATACATCTTTCCAATCATAAATTAAAAATATATATTTTTAAAAATAATAGAGACCTGATTGGAGCTTTACTGACAACCAAATGATGACTGGCCCGAGGTTGGAGTTCTGTATAGCCCGCAAAAAGGAAATTGCCCATGTTTCATGCACATGTTGACTCTCACACAAGCACCCAAGAACCTGGAGCTGAGTTGAGGTGGACTTTAAAGTTCAGAAGGGCACCCCCAAGACTGGGGTTAGCTAGAGAGACAAAGGGAGGGCGATCAGGAATTCTTCTGTGCGCTGGAACATTCTGGAACCTTCTGGAACATTCTCGATGTGTATCTTAGAGGTCACTGTGTGTTTATCTTAGAGGTTATCTGTTCTTCTAGAAAAGTGCGTTCAGAGTGTGGCTGTTGACCGCAGCAGTCAAGTTACTGCTTCAGACACCTGCTTGCTCTCCATTCTGCACGTGCACCCTGGGAAGGCAACAGAGCCCAAGTCCTTGGGTTCCCAGATGAAGTTCCGGGAGCCCATATAGGATCCCAGACCAAGTACTGCAAAGATTTAGTCACTGGACCACCGTGCTGGGATTAGAACCAGCGCCCGTGCAGGACGAGGGCTTTAGCCACCAGACTACTGCATTTAGCCCAATAAAATAATTATTAACTTTGAGAAGAACCAAAGATCTGACCAGTGTCTTCCTCAAAAAAAAAAAAAAAAAAAAAACACCCAGAACGCACTTGAAACTCACAGAGGAAGAGATAACCCCCACTGGTGTTTGCACCAAAAGCCCCTGCCCTCCACCCTCACCCCCTTCCGCTCCCTACTGTGGCCAGGTGCAGGGCACAGCTCCAAAAACACTGAGTCTGCAATTGGCACTCCAGTGAAGTGTGTGTTGTAACTGGCAGCTTGACCACGCGACAATGAAATTGCTTTAAGTTAAAAAAAAAAAAAAAACAAAGTTGACTCCAGGGCTACCACATTTAACCCAAGTTAGCTGCTCAGGACAAAGGGGAAACCAGTGGATTTCCCCCCCCCCCCCCCCCCCGCTAAGATTTATTTATTTATTGGAAAGGCAGATTTACAGAGAAGGAGAAACAGAAAGATCTTTCCATCTGCTGCTTCACTCCCCAAGTGGCCACAATGGCCGGAGCTGAGCCGATCCGGAGCCAGGAGCCAGGAGTTGCTTCTGGGTCTCCCACGCGGGTGCAGGGTCTCAAGGCTTTGGGCCGTCCTCCACTGCTTTCCCAGGGGACAAGTAGGGAGCTGGATGGGAAGTGGGTCCTCCGAGACACAAATCAGTGCCTGTATGGGATCCTGGAGCAGACAAGGCATGGACTGTAGCCACTAGTTTATCACACCAATCCCACCACTGAGTTTTTGGGGTTTTTTTGGTTTTTTGATTTTGTTTTTGTTTTTTTCCACAACCACCACTTCCCCAATTCTAGGGACCCTATGCCCTGGCTCGGATGCCAGCTGCAAAGTCAGTGCCCAAGACTGCCTCCAAGGTAAGTTACAAATCAGGGGCTTCCATCCCGCTGACTTGCAGGTGTGGGAATCAGCCAGTTGGCGCGGGGCAATCAGGAAACCCTTTATGTTTTATTTACTACTTGAGCCGAATGCTTGGAACCGAGTCAGCCGCATGAACAGGGCGAGGGGAACGCGGGAAGGGGTCCCACATTATTGGGGTTACGGACTCTGTGCGCCTCACAAACATCAGGGTGTCGGGGGCTGGGGTTGTCGTATGGTGGGTGAATCCACTACAGGCAACCCTGGCATCTCCTAGAGGGGCGCTGGTTTGAGACCAGGCTCCTCTCCTTCCGACCCAGGTCCCTATGAATGGGCCTGGAAAGGCAGCTGAGGATGGCTTCTCATTGCAACTTTCAAATAAACAAATACTTTTTTGTTGCTTAGTCTATATTTTCATTTTTAAAATTACATTTAAATAAACAAATATATTTTTAGAAGTACACAGGAGGTCCCAATGCAATGGCTCAATCATTAAACCCTCCCCCTTGCAGCACTGGGACCCCATAAGGACGACGGTTCTAATCCCCGCTGTTCCACTTCCCATCCAGCTCCCTGCTTGTGGCCTGGGAAAGCAGTGGAGGACGGTCCAAAGCCTTGGGACCCTGCACCCGCGTGGGAGACCCACAGGACGCTCCTAGCTCCTGGCTTCAATTTGGGCTAAACCTGACTGTTGTGGCTGGGGAGTGAACCAGTAAGTGGATGAAAGATCTTTCTCTAACTCTTGCAATAAATAAATCTGTTTAAAGAGAAACAAACAAACAACAACAAAAAAAAAGCTTTTCAGAGTTCAGTCCCCACAGAGCTTGCTGGGTGAAACTGAAACCCCCAAACTCCTAATCCCACACAGGCCTTCCTGGTGACAACCATCCCCTGCTCCAGGCTCCTCTGGGGGGACCCTGCCCTGGGTCACGTGTCGCCACACTCACCTGTAACAATAGAGGATATTACTGCCATCCAGGAATCAGGGACAAGGTGTAAATACAGATTTATTTATTCTTATGACCCGAGAGAGAGAGAGAGAGAGAGAGAGAGAGAGAGAGAGAGAGAATAAAATCTCCCACCTGCTGGCTTACTCCCCACACACCTGCAACCCTGGGACTGTGGTCTAGCTGGGCAGCGCCAGGAGCTCACCCCCCCCCAGAGATGCAAGGACTTAAGCTGTCACCTGCTGCCTTTCAGGGTGTGCATGAAACGGGAGCTAGAGCCAGGGGCTGGAGCTGGGATTCGAACCCCGTTAGTGAGAGAATCATCTTCGGGTGTCAGGATTCATCGGCCAGACGAGCGAGAAGCAGCAGCTTAAGGGAGAAAACGATTTTATTCATCTACGCTGCGGCCATCAGCCACGCCTTCAGGATGACGCACTTTGATTTGTGAATACACAGACTTTCATGCCCCAACAAGAACACAGATGTCACAGGAAGGCTTTCCTTAATTCTTTTTTTTTTTTATAAAGATTTATTTTTATTATTTTCTTATTGGAAAGGCGGATATACAGAGAGGAGAGACAGAGAGGAAGATCTTCCGTCCGATGATTCACTCCCCAAGTGAGCGCAACGGCCGATACTATGCCGATCCGAAGCCAGGAGCCAGGAGCCTCTTCCGGGTCTCCCACGCGGGTGCAGGGGGCCGTCCTCGACTGCTTTCCCAGGCCACAGGCAGGGAGCTGGAAGGGAAGTAGGGCCGCCGGGATAGAACCGGCGCCCATATGGGATCCCGGACATGCAAGGCGAGGAGGACCTTTAACCACTTGCGCCACCGCGCTGGGCCCTTTCCTTAATTCTTATGCGAAGCTAGCAATTCTTAGAACAATGATTCTTATGTTAGTAAAACTAAAAAAAAGTAAGAGAGAAGACATTAACACAGCGTCTTGGTATGCTTTGGTCTGTTATTTACAACTCAAAGAAAGCGTAAGAAACGATAGTATTAAGGCCAGGGACGCTCTTTTCTGTTATTTTTTTTTTTTTAAGATTTATTTTATTTTTATTACAAAGTCAGATATACAGAGACGAGGAGAGACAGAGAGGAAGTGGAGCTGCTGGGATTAGAACCAGCGACCATATGGGATGCCGGCTCATTCAAGGCGAGGACCTTAGGCACTAGGCCACGCTGCCAGGCCCTCTTCTGTTCTTTTTAAGCAGAGGGAGGCAGAAGGGAGAGAAAGTGCCGTGGGTTTTGGTCTGCCCCTTGGTGCTCCAAGGTTAGGCACTAGCTCGGGTGTTTCTGGCTCTTGGATCGCCCCCCCCCCCCCTTGCCCACCGATGCACTCAGCTCCTTCATTCGGGCGCCCCCAGTCTGCAGGATGAGGTCCCCCCCGCGTGGAGGGGGCGGGGAGCGGGAAATACAGCAGGTGCACGTGGCAATCTCAGCGAGATCGAGCCAGAAAGAGCCAGAACAGAACACACACCCCTCGCCCCGGGGCCTGGAGTCTTCCCCACAGTGGCTCACTTTATTGAGCTCCAAGGGGGTGCCACAACCTGGAAACCCAAGGCAGGACGGAAGCCGCCACCACCACCACCACCACCACCACCACCGATGGTGCGATCCCAGCAGATGCGGCTAGGGGTGGGGTGGTGGCAGGCAGGGCCTGGGTAAGCGGCCCAGCCGGGCGGAGTGGGGGATGGAGTGAGGAGGAAGAGGAGGAGGAGGGTCCAGCTTCAGGCAGCTTCGCAGGGGGCCGTGGGCCGCTTGCACACCCAGAACTTGTCCTTGGAGCACTGGTCGTCATTCCAACCGTTGTTCTTGAATTCACCACAGTCTTCCTCCTGATGGTTGTTGGGTTCCCCGGGGTTCCAGTATTGCATGAAGCTACAAGGTCCATCCATGGCAGGACATGAGCTTCCAGCCCAGCCCGGCCCAACTGCCGAACCCCAGGTCAGAGTGTCTGCCTTGGTGGTCCTGTTAGGCAGGCACGCACACACATGCCTCACACTCCCCCTGACCGCGCCTCCTCATGCTCCCTGAGGAAACAACCCTCCCCTCCCGCCTCCATCCTCACCCTCTTCCTCTGACCTGGTCCAGGGGCCTTCCTGTGTGCTGGCATATGTACTCACTCTACTGCCATTGATGCCAACTATATCCTTGAGTGCTTGGCCTCCCTGTACCCCAGATTTTCCATCAATAAACTGTGTTGGGGGTGCAGGGCAGCCATTTGGTGTAGCAGGTAAAGCCGCCATCTGCAGCGTCGGCATCCCATCTGAGGGCACCGGTTCAAGTCCCGGCTGCTGCACTTCCCATCCAGCTCCCCCTGCTAATGCGACTAGAAGATCTTCCCCTGCACCCATCTGGGTGCTGCTTCCGGGTCTCCCACGTGGGTGCAGAGTCTCAAGGCTTTGGGCCGTCCTCCGCTGCTCTCCCAGGCTACAAGCAGGGAGCTGCATGGGAAGTGGAGCAGCTGGGACATGAACCAGCACCCACATGGGATGCTTGCGCTGCAAATAGAGGCTTAGGCAGCTCCACTACGATGCTGCTCTACTTTTCAAAGAAATCTTACACTCCTTGCAAACACTGCCAAGAGCGCCCCCTGCAGCTTTCGGGGTGCAAGGAGACACACCTTACTTCTGCTTTGGACGGCACGTTCTGAACTCAGCAAAATAAAAATCCGTAGTGAGGACCCAGGCACCCAGGCAGAGTTTGCAGAAATAGCTCAGGGTGATCCCCAAGTCCCCTTCCTAGGAAGGAGCCCTCTCAGCCAAGCCCACCTGAGCATGAGCGGCGAACCATCTACCCAGTGCCACGTGCCCTCCTTTTTCAGGTCTGAAAGTCCCATCCAGGTGGGGCCTCTCGACTTGGCGTTCAGCTGCAGGAAGAACTGGGGCAACAGGGCAAAAGCGAGACTTTGGCTGGGGAACCCCAAAACTCGACGCTCATGTCACCGCCTTAAAGGTCCTGCACCTCCCCAGACCCTCAGCAGAAAGTTCTGCCCATCTGTCCAGACGGGGGGCTCAGGGTGTTTGACAGATGCGCATGTGCGGATGTATCTGTCTCCTGATTTGCATACAAAGCGTGCACAGCTAGCCTCCTGACCAAATCACAACCGAGGGAACACCTCGTGGGCAGCGTGGAAGCAGCCCCCCCATCCCAAATGTTTACATCAGGGAAATAGGCAAAAGATACGTGCGTTCCATGCACCTGCCAAACAGGTGGGCAGCGCTGGGCCAGCACATCCACGCCCGATCCTGAGCTAATGGGCAGTTCTCCTGGGGCCCCTGGTGAGGTGCCCGGGACCTCCTCAGGCCTGTCCCACCCCCACTATCCCTCCCCCAACCAAGCACCCCCACCCAAAAACTCCACTCTGTCACTCCCCCCTCCGACCCTGCAAACCCACGGCCACCACACACACGCTCACCTTCTCCCGCTACCCCCGCCCAGCGCACCTGCTCCTCATCGCTTCTGACGATGACCAGCTGGGCCCCCACGTCCTGGCAGGCCGACACGGAGTCGTGCCAGTTCCTCTGGGACTTGGAGAAGAAGTAGCAGTGTCCCTGGAAGAAAGTCCAGTCCCAGGGACAGGGCCGGCACAGGTTGGCTGTGGAGGGAGGGAGGGCAGCGACAGGTAGATGAGGCTGGGACCCTCCAACGTCCACCGCTCCTTCCACACCCGTCTCCAGGCCAGCAGAACCCATCAGTCCTGAGCGTGTACTGTATCCACGGCCTCCTGCGGACACCGAGTGTCCTATGCTGCCATCTCACAGAGGGAAGTTCACTGCCAGGTACTGAACTCACCCAGTCCCGCCTTGAGCTGCATCACATCCCGACGTATCTCTTGCGTCTTGGACGGCACCTGTTGATGACAGCTGGGAACCTTGGAGACTACTCCAGGAAAAGAAGAAATGGTCCTTATATGCGCTTCGGGTGGGTCAGGACCTGAAGGTCAAGGTCCTGAAGAGGACTGTGTGACTCACACATCCTTCTCACCCCTGCACCAGACCCTGCGAGGGCCGCCTAGGAGCCTCCCGTCCCATGGCCGCATTTCTCTCCCAGCCTCAGCCCAAGGCAAGACCACGGAGTCCCAGATCAGCAGGGTCTGTCCCTGACCTTGAGCCAGGATGGCTACCAGCAGCACAGCGCACAGCAAGAGGCACAGCAGCTGCAGCACCAGGGACAGGTGACTCCTGAGATGGCCTGCAGGGGAGGGGAGAGGCGCTGCATGCCACTGAGTCCCTGCCTGCAGCTGGCCTGCGGACAGGCAGCCCAGCACCCAGGGGTCAAGGGACCCCAGCACCCAGGGGTCCAGGTCCCCAGCCCCACCCACCTCCCAGCACCCAGGGGTCCAGGTCCCCAGCCCCCACCTCCCAGCACCCAGGGATCAGGTCCCCAGCCCCACCTCCCAGCACCCAGGGATCAGGTCCCCAGCCCCACCTCCCCCCAGGATCCAGCACCAGGGTCCAGCCCAGCCCCACCTCCCAGCACCCAGGGGTCCAGGTCCCCAACCCCCACCTCCCAGCACCCCTGGATCTAGCACCCAGGAGTCCACGCCTTAGCCCCACTTCCTAGGACCCAGGGTTTAGACCCTCAGCACCCAGAGGTCCTGCTCCTGGCCCCAACCTCCCAGGACTCCCAAGTTCCTCTCTCCTGGCCTGTCGTGTCTCTGCCCATTGCCCTGCCTACTGTACCTGCAAATGTCATGACACCTTGCACCCTTCCCGGCTCCAAGTCCCTCGGGGCGTCTGAGTGCTCCCCGGAGATCAGGTCATCCTCCTCTGGATAGACAGAGCCCCAGGTTGGCTGCCACCCCAGCTAGTCATGCCCAGGACTTCCCGGGGGAGCCCCCCCCCCGAGCTGCACCCCCAGCCTCACCCACGGGGCCCAGCGACTGCTCCCTCGTGGCCTGGAACATGTCCGCCAGCAGACCTCACTGCCCCGTAAGGAGTGTCTGGCCCTGCTGCTGGCTCTTGAATTTATTGTTACTCAGGAAGAGGAACAGGCAGCTGCGAGAAAGACCCAAGGGTGGGAGGAGGCTGCGGGAATGGGTGGGGGAGAGGGAGGGGGAGAGGGTGGGGGGAGGAGGGAGAGGCTGGGGAGAGGCTGGGGGAGAGGGAGGAGGAGGGGGAGAGGCTGGGGAGAGGGTGGGGGAGAGGGAGGGGAAGAGACTGGGGGGGAGGAGGGAGAGGTGGGGAAGAGGGAGGGGGAGAGACTGGGGGAGGGGGGAGAGGCTGGGGCAGAGGGAGGAGGAGAGGAGAGACTGGGGGGAGGAGGGAGAGGTGGGGAGAGGCTGGGGGGAGGAGGGAGAGGCTGGGGGGAGGGAGAGGTGAGGAGAGGCTGGGGGAGAGATTTGGGGGGAGGAGGGAGAGGTGGGGAGAGGCTGAGGGAGGTGGAGATGGGGAGGGAGAGAAGCTGAGGAGAGGCCTGGGGGATAGGTTGAAAGGGGGAGGGGCTGGGGGATAGGCTGGGGGGAGGGGAGAGGGGGAAGAGGCTGGAAGGGGGAGAGGCAGGGGAGTGGGAGAGGCTGGGCAGGGGCAGATGCTCAGCTACAGGGCCCTGTGCATGTTGCAGGACTAGAGGCAGGGCAAGCAGACGCCTCCCCCAAGGTGCAATCAGGCCAGAGAGGCTCTGTGGGATCCACTGATGGCCAAGCCAGCACCGTGCCTCCCTGCACCTCCTCACTGCGTCCCCGTCCAGACCAGACCAGTGGAAAGGGCTGGTGGAAGAAGGCATCCCCATCTTCCCGGCAATGCCAGCCTTCCCGACCTCCAGGTCTGGCTACCTGGGACTGTTGATGCCCTCGGTTATGGTGAGAGCGGCATTCAGGTCCGAGCTGCTAGAACTCCTGGGAGTGCCACAGCCGGGCACTTTGCTAACAGCTTGTAAACTGACTTTCATTCGCTCTGTCACCTGAGCTTTCTGCTCACTGGCCAAAGGTTACACAATTTGAAAGTTGGGAAGAGTCGAAGAGACACATGGAGAGATTCTTCAAAATAATCCCTGCGGCCTGGCATGATGGCTCAGTGGCCACATCTTCCCCCATCAAGTGCCGGGATCCCATAGGGACGCCAGTTCGAGTCCTGCCTGCTCCACTTCCCATCCAGCTCCCTGCCTGTGGCCTGGGAAAGCAGTGGAGGACGGCCCAAAGCCTTGGGACCCTGCACCCGTGTGGGAGACCCGGAAGAGGCTCCTGGCTCCTGGCTTCCGATCAGCTCAGCTCCGGCCATTGTCACCACATGGGGAGTGAACCAGCAGATGGAAGACCTTTCTTTTTCTCTCCTCTTCTCTGTTGATTTGCCTTTCTAGTGAAAATAAATACATCTTCAGAAAGCTTGTACATAATCAAAGAGGCCTTGGTCTTCTCCTTTTATTGGCTTTTTATTTTTTAAGATTATTTATCTGCATGCAAGAGTGACAGAATGAGAGAGAGAGAGAAGAGGGAGAGAGAGAGAGATTTCTGGCTTACTCCACAAACGCCTGGGACAGGTTGGAACTGGCCGGGGGGCTGGGATCTTCATCCGGGTTGCCCGTATGAGTGGCAGGTGCCCAAGGCCAAGGGAGATGAGATTAAAGACAGCAGTACCGGAACCACTGGCTGCATCTGTGTGTGACGCAGGAGATGAGCCACGGAATGAACCACGCTTCTCTCAGTGGCCCTTGTGTGTCCACCAACGAGTTGGCCCCGGACACTCGCTGTGTTGGATATTGGGATTCCAGCACAAATCTCACCATACCAGGGTTATTCCCAGGCCAAAGGGGGTGGGGGCAGACAGACCCTGCAAGAAATCCTGGACAACTTCCTGGAGGAGGAGGCTGACGGACTAAGTGTACGAGCAGAGAAGAGATGGGATGATAGGGAACGCAAAGATCAGGAAGTGAAAACAAACTTTTCGCAGGAAACGAAAGTTATTGGGTGGGACTGGAAGACTCAGGATTGGAACGGGCAGGCACCGGGCTCGGGTCGGATCACAAGACCCTGTGTACGAAGAAAGAGAAGTCAGTAGTTTATCATCAGGGAGGAAGCGCCACCCTCGGCTTGCGGGCTGAGGGGGGGGGGTGTTAGCACAACACAGAATGTCCCAGCCCTGTCACCTGTGGTTCCCGGAAAACAGGAAGGAACCCGGATTTTCTGGAAGTCCACATGGAAATGCTAACGGGACCAGAGTTGAAACTCCTGATTTCCTGCTGGGGAGGGCTCCAGATGGGCCTCTCAACTCCTGGCCCCGGGCGGCTGTTGACATCAGGCGGAGACCCGGATGCAGACGCATCCTAAACAACATGCAAGCACTCGCAGAGGCAACAGCCGCCATCAGTCACCCAGGGCGGCCCGTGTTCTGCCGTGTGACCTTGGCTTAAATATTCACGGATTGGGGCCCTGAACGGTAGCCTAGTGGTTAAAGTCCTCCTCTTACGTGTGTGGGGAATCCCATATGGGTGCGGGTTTGTATCTCGGCTGCTCCACTTGCCTTCCAGCTCCGTACATGTGGTCCGGGAAAGCAATAGAGGACAATCCAAAGCCTCGGGACCCTGCACCTGCGTGGGCCAGCTGGAAGAAGCTCCTGGCTCCTGGCTTCGGATGAGCTCAGCTCCAGCCACCGTGGCCACTTGGGGAGTGACCCAGAGGAAGGAAGACCTGTCTGTTTGTCTCTGCTTCTCTTGTAAATCTAACTTTCCAATAAAGTAAATCAATAAATAAATCTTTTTTTTTTTTAAAGTCACGAATTGGAAAGGCAGAGTGTTGAGTCGGGGTGAGTGTGGGATTCCCAGTGTACCCACTGAGTTCACCCCGCCTGGTTCACTCCACCACCAGGCGGCAGACCAAGAAATCTTGACCCTGCTGTGTTCAAAACTGTGAGCCCGACCCGGAGGCGTGGCCTAGTGGCTACAATCCTTGCCTTAAATGCGCCAAGGTCCCATACGGGCACCGGTTCTAATCCCGACAGCCCCGCTTCCCTTCCAGCTCCCTGCTTGTGGCCTGGGAAAGCAGTGGAGGACGGCCCAAAGCCTTGGGACCCTGCACCCGCGTGGGAGATCCTGGCTCCTGGCTTCGGATCAGCATAGCATCGGCCGTTGCGCTCACTTGGGGAGTGAATCATCGGACGGAAGATCTTGCTCTCTGTCTCTCCTCCTCTCTGTATATCTGACTTTCCAGTAAATAAATAAATCTTAAAAAAAAAAAAAAAGAAAAGAAAAGAAAGAAAATAGCTGCTTCCAGGGTAGTGACCCGGAACCCCAGGAACCTCCAGCCAGGCCAGGAAGGGAGAGAAAGCGGCCAGCCAACAGCTGGCGAGACGGCTGGCATGAGACGCTTCCCCCGACCACAGCAAAGACAGTTTCAGCATCCAGGGAGGACAAAAAAAAAAAAAAAAAAGAAAAAGAAAAAGAAAGAAAATAGAAAGGAAATGTCAGCGAAATGGTGAACAAAAATCTGCCTTTCTAGAAAAATCAGTGGGGTCAGGGGTGGAGGGAGACGGAGCAGGAGGTGAGATGTGTCAGAATCCACATTTCTCAGGACCCTAGCAATTCATCAAAAGCTGATGGTAATTCAGCATCAGAGTTTTTTCTTGCTTGCTTTATGATGTGTTGTTTGTTGTTTTGTGTTTTGGTGGCGGGGGGTGTGGTTTTGTTCCAAATTGTGCGCACACGAAACAGCAAGCTTTACAGAATGTTAACATACCCCTGGGCCTGTGCCCTCCTTACACCCCAACCCAGAAGCCTTCTGCCAAGGCCCACGGATGCCAGGCCTGGGCCAGGAGGGAGCAGGAAACTGGAATCTCAAACCAGCTCAACTGCATGAGCCTGCCTAGCTGCCCCGTCTCGGCCCCCCAACCCTCTCCATGTTCTGAGTGTCACATGCAGTCCCTGGGGTGCTGGCTGGGGCTCCCACACTGAGCCTGGGTTACGGTGGTGCTGGCTGGGGCTCCCACACTGAGCCTGGGCCGCGTGCGGTCCCCGGGGTGCAGACTGGGGCTCCCACACTGAGCCTGGGTTACGGTGGTACTGGCTGGGGCTCCCATACACACATACACTGAGGCTTGGTCACTCACAGTCCCTAGGGGACACACACACACACACACACTGAGCCCTGGTCTCTCACAGTCCCTGGGATGCTGGCTGGGACACACACACACACATTGAGCCCTGGTTAAGAGCCCCAGGTTGGAGCACGGGCTGCTGCGCCCTCTGATGTCCCCAAGGTGGAACAGCTGAGCCTTCCCTCCAGGGCACAGCTGGTGCGCTCCGGGGGCCTTAGGCGCTTCCCTCGGTCCTGCAGGGGGCACCCAACGTCCAGGAAACAGCTGTGGTCACTGCCGCCCGCACCCTTCCCTGCACAGCCCAGGGAGAAGCTCCCCTGGGCCAGGGCTGGGGGGACCTGGACGGGGGCGATGTGTCTCCTCTGATCCAATCCCGCTGGGATCCAGACGAACGTACCCGTTCCCTCTCTCGTGAGCCTGCGCCCCACCTCGCAGGACCCCCTGAGGCTCCACTTCTGGCTTCTCCGCCGTCCTCGCTGGCCGCTGGCCGTTCTCCACCTGCTCTGGTCCACCCCAAGATAAACCTGGCCTGTCTGGTCTGAGCCCTGAGCAGGGACTGCATCCCAGATTAGTTGGTCTCTACGCCTGTTCACCCCCGCCCTCCCCCAGATGCCTGCAACCGCCAAGGCATCTGGGTTTGGGCCACAAGCAGGAAGCCTGTATCTTCGTCCTGGTCTGCCTAAAGCCTGCCTCACGAGCAAGGAGCTGAGATTGGAAGCCGAAGATATTCTTTCTCCTCCTCTCTCCCTTACAAGTTAAAAAAAAAAAAAAAAACCCTAAGCAATTACCAAACGTCTGGAAGAATCTCAGCCGCTTCTGCTTACGGACAACACCTGCTAGCTGGATGATTTGCTTCCAAACCCTTGAGACATCGCGAGAG